TAAAGGCATCTCATGCAGCAAGAAAATTCATCTAAAGGACCAGGACAGTAGAAACAGGACCCTAACCAAGACAGAACAAATCAACAAAGTCAAGACAGCAAGAAAAATTTGAGACATAAACTGATTGCTTCAATATGCAGGAAGTTAAATCTAACCTGGGCCAAGATCAGGAGAAATAACCATTCTTGTATCATCAGATGAAGACGAAGATGATGATCTTGCAAATAGTACCGGAGACTGGCTCATCCTTGGTGACTGTAGCATTCTATTAAGTACCGGAGATCTCACATAATGCACACGTGAAGCAGATGACTTCCTCTGCATTCCTTCTGAATGATTTGAAGCATTAACAACAGATGACTTCCGTTTCGACAGCGAGGACTTGATCCTATCCACGCTCCTTGATGCTGCATCTTTGCCAAGATTAGGAGAAACAGTTGTTCTTGTATCATCAGGTAAGGTTGAAGATGACAATCCTGCACATGGTGACCTCTGGTGTTTGGCTCTGGAGTGGCGCATCCTTGGCGATGCTAGGATCCTATTCAGTAGCGGGGACCTCACAAATTGCACGTTCGAAGCAGATGACTTCCTCCGCTTCTCTGTTGGAGGCTTTGGAGCATTAACAGCAGATGACATCCGTTTCACTAGCAATGACTTCTTCATGTTCACACTCCTTGAAGTTGTATGCTTACTGCTTTGTTGATCTGCTTCTTGACCACTCAATTCTTCTGGCGCAAGCTCAGATGGTAGGGTTGCCATGTCCACACCAGCACATCTAGATAGAATACAATAACATGATAAGCTAGAGGACAACCAAATGGTGGCAACAAAATGTGGACTACAGTAAAATTAGATATTTGTGGTAGACGATTTAAAAGATCATATTTAAAGATTTCTAGACTAACAAATAAGAAGTAACTGTCTTCGTCAGAGGATAAAAGATGAATGTAGCTTACAAGTTATGGTGCACAAAAATACACATGCACAAAGGAACATATCTGAACCTACAGTACAAAGTGAGACAGTAGGTATTGCATCTCCATCAATATTACAAAGAATCATGGTGTTGCCAGGAATGATGTTCAAATTTCGTGTAGCAGTTTTGATCAGCAAAAGACTAACAAATGTTTGCAAGGTGCCATTTGTACTTTGCATGCAAGAAAAATCTGATCCTGACAACCACCGCACAAATCAATAAAAAGTCTTTGATCATATTATCTGACTAACACTGAACACATGTAAAATTAGAAAATAGCTTTCAAAGTGAGGATCCCACATTTCAGACACTTATAATGTTATTATCAAACCCATTGCATCTAATGTGAAATAAGCAGTGGTTCGAAATCAACTATTTATGTGAAATTTGAAGAAATCAAATGTGATAATAAATATATTCAAGGTAAGCTCCATTGCATCTATCATGGAGGCACAACTAGATAGGACATCATAGATTATGCCATCAACAATAATTGCAGTTAATGGATAAAATCGGCGTACTTCAATGCCACAAATAAAAGTAATGACTACACCGATTCAAATAAAATTCTATAAAGTCCTTTGACAGGTGTGACATCAAGATTAAATGATAAAGCCATCAACATTCTAGTAAAAGACTGTACATCACGAACAGGATTGACAAAAAATAGCAAAAAAACACATCAAGAGTGTACAGCATGAGCAGACAAGGCGTGAAAAGAAAACTTACGGGGCTATATAGCTGTTTACTAGCAAAAAATATACCCGCCAGAATTTGCGCTCTTTCATGTATCTTGGGCATAGTTCATATCTGAACTTTGATATTTCCTGAACAAAAGATAGCACCATTTAATAGAAATATAATATTAGGTGGTCGGAAAATAGAGATCTTTGCTGGTCGGCATTGCAAATTAAATGAAAAAATAACTCATACACAGGAAGAATATTAATAGGAAGAAGGTGCAGAACAGAGAGTGATGAGATTATGGATGGCCATAGTTAAAACAAAAATCCTTTCAGACATCTTAGGATCTTATTAGATTCGAACTAAGAGCCACCTCAATTCAGTATCAAAATGGTAACTGCCACAATTTTAAACAGCATACTTCAATCACTAGTCACTACTTGACCCAGTCTCTACCCAAATTGCAACTCCCTGCAAATTCTACACACAAGCACAATTGGAATGCCTAGAGTTTCTTGGTAACATATTGTCCTTTGATCAGTTTACCACAAACATGCAAAAGTATGACATATCTAAATGTTCAAGTTTTACATATTATGATATTACCATTTTCCATTTGCTAATATATCTAGCAATGCTTCATCTTCATTGCTTAATCTAAAGAAATAAAATGGAAACATAAATGTCATATGTGACTCCCACTAGTCGAAATTGACATTATTTAAGAATCACAGTGCTGATGAATCAATGTTTTATTGTCACAAATGACATGTCCAGTTCCTTCACTCAGCACGTCCAAATGCTATAAGCTCAGCTTTCTACAACTTTGCCGTCTCAACTCTCAATAGTCAATGCGCTCATACTTAATCATATTTGCAAATCTATACTGTATGCCCTTTCATACTTGGATTCATCACCATTCACCAATCTATCAACCGGAGCACAGACTAATCCGCAATGACACAAACAAATGCATCAAACGATGTTCAGTGAATGGAGATATTTGATGATGAAAAACCTTGACCGCCGAGAGGACAAGTGTGGCGTGCCTGGCCTGCCACTCGTTCAGATCCTGACGCACATTCGACACCGTTGGCACATCAGACACCTCAGGCTCATCTACAGAACCAAAAGTCCAGTCAGAGGAGGATTGCAAGCCTGGAATTCCCTAAACACAACCACCAAAACCCCGCACCTTGCAGTGGGAAGTCGCGGAAGGTGCTTATGGTCATGCCCTTGACGAACTCGCGGAGGTCGTCGGTGATGCCGTAGCGCTCAAGTTCGGCCGCATCGGGCTCCGACGAGGCGGCGGCGGCGATAGGCGGGATCACGGGGATGGGCGGGATCGAGGGCATGGGGAGGTCGGAGGCGAGGTGCTTGATCTGGCCGGCGAGGAGGTCGGCCTGCTTGGTGGCCTCGGCGGCGATCTCCCGCGACTTGGTGGCCACGGCCGGAATCGGCATTTCCATCTGCGCCAAGGGCCAGGACGAGCCGGAAGGGAGAGCAGAGGAGGGTGATGCCCAACGGCCGATGCCACCGTACCGTGACGGCGCGATAGCGGTAGGGTTCAAGACGAGCCGGAAGGGAGAGCAGAGGAGGGTGTTGCGGGTCTTGCGGGTTGTTGCGAGGCTTCTCGCTCGCCCAACGGGCATAGAGTGTTGGAAGTCTTTGGGCCACGAAAAAATTGCAGCTGGTCCACAGCAGCCACGAAGTCAAGTTTTGCGGGACGAGCGGGCGGGTTACGTTAACAACCCGCCCCGCCTGCAATCAGAGAAGGGAGTACTTGACTCCGCCAGGGAAATACGGTTTTTGGTAGTGTATTCATGTCATCGGTCCACATCTGTACCTTCTCCACTTTTCTCTTGGATTCCATTTTCTTGTTTGTTTGTCATCATCTCCTGGATCGCTTCCTTGTATTTCACCACCTTTCTCCTATCTCCTTTCCTTATCCTCGCTTTCTCTTTGCTTCCTCCCGAGTCCCGAGGCCTACTGTTCTTTCTTTTTTTTTTGACTGAAGAGGCCTTTTGTTCATTAGTGACGCTGAGCTTGGAGTGGGATTTCTAAGTCACAACTTAGAAGTGTTCAACATATAGAAGTACTAATTGGAAAAAAATAATGGATATTCCTTGAAGTGAACTAGGCCCGCCCCTGATTATATAGGCATTTGAACACTGACTTATTTTAAACCAATTTTTTTGCACATGTCTTCTAAAACTAATTATATATGGTGTTTAATGAAAACCTTTTTCTTTCCTTTGGAAGAGCAAAATTCAGTCTATGAACTACCAAGAAGATGCGAGTACTGACATTATGCAATGGGACACGGATATAAGCCACGACCGGTCGCGCGACCCGTCGTCTTCGCAGTGACGCGCCGTCTCCGACTTTCTTCTTCCTCACGCACCCTTCCTCCATCGCCCCCTCCCTGTTGCCGTCGAGCACCGGCCGTTGTCCACGACGTCGCCATCCTCCTCGTCCTTACCCCCACGGCCGACCACTGCCCCGCCGCGGGCGCGTTCCGGCGAACCCTAGCGCGCCTGCGGCCGCCTTCTTCCCCTCCCCCTTCCTGGGACAACGAGCTCCATGGCCATGGCGCCCCTGCCCCTCCCTGGACCGGCCGCCACCGCTGCCGTCAGGGCCCCTAAGCCGCCCCGCCTCCTTCCCCACCGCCTGACCAGCCTGCCTCCCCCCGGCTGGGCCCTTCCATGCCCGCCGGAGTTGGGAAGGAGAGGGGGAGGAACTCACCGGCGCGGCTGGGGGCGCGAGCGCGGGGAGGAGCTCGCTGCGGGAGGAGGAGCTCGATGGGACACGTCCGCCACCGACCACCTGGTCGTCCTCATGGGCGCCGGCGCGTGGGAGAGGGAGACGCGTTGGAGTGAGAGGGAGAGGGAGAGGAGACGCACGGGAGGGAGGTCATGCCGCCGCGTGACGGTCGCGGAATAACTTTTCCATATGCAATGAACGCAAAGTGGCTAAAATTAAACTCGTATACTTACAACAGCACGAAATAGCCGGGGTGATATGTGTACAATGTACAAGTACAAACACTGAAATCAAACGACCAAGTATCAGAATTTTTTTTACTTCAGATAATGCCAAAGTGAACTAGAATTTAGAATGGAGGGAGTATACGTATAAGTATATATACAACAAACATAAAAAGGACTGGAAACAAAAAGAGAAGAATTTCTCCAACCAAATCTGCTCATGCGCAGACACCATGCATACCCAGCAAACACAGGATCGAGTGATGAACTCGATGGACAATCAGACGACAGGCTGGCACTCCACGTCTCTACATAACACAGTTACACATGCATCGCTACGGAAGGATGCTTGGTTATGCCGAAGGAGGTGGCGCCAAGAATGGCTTCGGCACGCCCGGGATGGAGGGCATTGGTGGCAGTGTCACTTTAGGCACGGCGGGCATCGGTGGCAGTGTCACCTTGGGCACGGCGGGGACGGCCGGCACCGTGGGCACGGCGGGGATCGGCGGGAGTGTCGCCTTGGGCACGGCGGGGACGGCCGGCATAGGGGGCAGCGCGGCGTTTGGTACTGTGGGCATCGGCGGGAGGGTCGCCGTGGGGACCGCCGGCACCGTGGGCATCGGTGGCACGGTGACCGCGGGAAGCGGTGGCAAGGCCGCCGCGGCAGGCACCGCAGGCACGGTGGCAGGAGTGTCAGCCGAAGTCGAGTCGGCAAGGAAGCGTGCAGCATGGCAAGTGCTGCTGCCGGCGAGCATGAGCGCCATGACGAGCGCCGTGGCGAAGAGAGCTGAGGCGGCAGATGCCATGTGCGATCTTGATTCTTGATCGGCCGGTTAATAGTAGGCCGTAGTTGCTAATCGCTAAACTAGCTATAGGAAGGAACTTTGTCTATTTACTAGCAGTGATGCAAAGGGCATGCGCAATGGAGGTCAATTATAGGCCACGGCCTGTGCAAATTGGTCGTCACCGATGAGCTTTTGAGTTTTGATCACCTTCCGAGCCATACGGTTTTTGTTTAAGAGAGGGTGGTGGATACCGGCCGGTTTGACGATGCTTCTCTGGTAGCTCAGCTTCTTACATGCAGGACACTGACACTAAGCTGTGCCGCATATCTGCATATCTGGTTGGTTTCTAAACTATATATCATGACATCAGCAGATTTGTTTTGTAACATTAGGTACAAAAATAGTCAATAATGCAAGTAAACTAGTGAAGGTAGAGCTTGTGTGATTTTAATTCAATTCACAATAATCCATTGCAAAAGAAATTTCACAAAAGCTCCAAGATGCAAACACACATGCCGTCAATTCAATCACTGACGGACATGCATCTAATTTTTTCCGTTGAATAAAGCAAATTGTCGGCCTTCTTTTTAATTTATTTTTTTAATTATACTGATCGGTGCATGTAACTCAATACGATTTTACAGCCAGAGATTTTGAATTTGAATCCTAATTATCACAATTAAATAAAAAATACTTGCTACTTGTTTCAATTCCACGAATGAAGGGAGCCCCTACGTGAGAGGGTGTTAAAATATATAGTGAATTGTTCGTCTTCCTCGTCAGTCTAAGCTTTTGGGTTATACTGGCTAGTACGTAAAACTCAATACTTTCTAACTTATTTCATTCGTATTTGGAGCCCGAAAGAAAGTCTTGCAGAAATAGGCCCTTCGTACGGTGCCAAAGGACATGGTGTTGTAGGTATACACCATGGTGCCATGCGCTTTGGCGTAGTGTTTTGGCAGGCACTCCAACTACGTGGCAAGGAATGGCTCACGAGTCACGACGGACCACGTCATATGAATTGGGCTAATGTCAATAAGCACGGCGCCGTCGGTATTGGTGCCATGCACGCTTCTCACCAAAAGCGCTAAGGGCTATTACGCCATGCTAGCTAGGGGACTAAAAAGTAACGAACTCCAAAAGCACGTGCCCATCCCCTCCATCCTCTCTTTGAACATGGAACAAGCATTTGCGTGAATGAACACGCTAAGAAACGGCGCACGGCGGACGACGTCATATGCATATATTTTGGTCAAATTTGAAATGTTTTGACTCACTAAAAAATTAAAATACCTTATAATTTAGAATATAGAGAGAGAGTAGAAAACAATGGTGTTGAAAGAAGTGTCCAGCTCCCACGAGAGGATGAGGAAATAGCCCCTAGGGGCAGAAAGACATCAGTTAACTCAAGCACACGTACGTGCCTTTTTCAACTTTACAACGGAAAAACACAATCACTATCTAGGCCACAAAGCTACGTCGATATTGGTTGTTTCCTTTTATATAGTATCGAAATATGAGGTCTTTTGTTAGGATGGTCCATCTTCAGCTGTGTTAGGTCGACCTCCTTCGGCGCTCGAGCGGGCGTTGTATGTTTCTTTCAACTCTTCTCCTTAATACAATGATACGCAAATCTTTTGCGTATTCGAAAAAAAAAACACAATCACTATCTATTGAAACTGAGTCAGCCTCTAGTTAGTTTCCTATATATCATGATTATACCTTTTATTATACTTATAGGCCTTAAATTTGTTTGATTTGATTGAATACAAAATGGGCCAAGCCCAACTAAATCCAACCCATTATATAAACATTTTTAGACCAACATGTCTTTCCAAATAAAATACAATTACACATGAACAAACTTTTGGTTTTCTTACTGTTGCGTGGCAAAATTCACTTCATATCAAACTGCCAGTGACAGTGAGATACAGATACTGTCATTCTGCAATTAACAAAGTACCAAAAATAAACTCAAATACATGATACAACACACAGGGTAGCCGAGCACTCCGTACACACGTATACACTTACAAGTTATAATCACTGACCACCAACCAAAAGAAAAAAAAAAGATGACAGAAAATGACCTGACAAAATTTAACACAATATATAATTTAAAAAAAGACTCAATACAATATATAGAAGTATACAGAATCACATACACTACTAAAAAAAACATTTCTGGGGCGGCTGGTAACCCTTTGTAGGGACGGTTTGCCTAGCCGCCCCTACGCAAGGGTCTCTACAAATCATGCATTTGTAGGGGCGGTTTCCAGGCCGCCCCTACAAATCGATTTGTAGGGGCGGCTAGTGTTTCCAGCCGTCCCTACAAATCGATTTGTAGGGGCGGCTCGTATTACCAGCCGCCCCGGCTCGTATTACCAGCCGCCCCTACAAATCTATTTGTAGGGGCGGTTCAATCTAGAACCGTCCCTACAATACGTTTTTCCGCCAAAAAAATCAAATTTACAATTCAAAATCGTGTTGCCGAACGTCCCACGACCAACGTTCCGAACCGCGTTCGCGTTGCCGAACGACCCGTGACCAACGTTCCGAACCGCGTTCGCGTTGCCGAACGCCCCGCGACCACGACTACAAGCACAAGAATATTCTATAAACTACAATTACAAGTCCAATTCACAAGAATATATACAATCCATCATTAAATATACAAATTCCATACACATTGTTATCAACGTCGTAGAGCTAGTCTTTCAGTCTCACAAAGGTGTTAGTACTGAGTATTTGTACCTAACTCAGACTCTCGGTCATGGTAGGCGCCTCTGACGTGTACAATCTGGTCCAATATGAAGTTGCAAAGGTCACCGACGAGTTCTAAGAGTTGGTCATCCTTGTATGGGTCTCTTCCCATTCCTTTCTCTTCTCCCCACTACAAGAGAACAAGTTTTGGTTTAGTATTTTATACCATGTACGAAGTTTTTATACTACAGGTAAAGAGGTTCAAACTTACCCTTAAGGGGTGTCTTTTGTAGGTACCGGTGTTACTCATAATAGAACATATATAGTATCCACAATGTACACTCCCAGGCCTCTGCTTGGGGCACTGTGTGTTTTGCATATGAAAATGTTAAGTAATGCTTTTGACAGTCATGTAACGGAGTACTGAAGAAGTAAGTTACACTTACCGCATATAGTGTTTTTATAGCCAACTTTTCCTTCCTTGCTGGATCATGCCTTCCATGATGATTAGTGACATAGAACCTAAATGCCATGTTCGAATTATTTTAGCAAATACAATTTGTTAGTATCCAAAAGTGAACATTATAAGTATGTATACAAACATATAAGCTAATGAGGATTGTCGATATGTATATGTCTTGAGAATCGATATGGAGTCTTTGTATGTCACCGTGTCCCTATCTAATGAATCAAAGACCCATGCCATGCTCCTCCCGACATCGATGGCTATACAAATCCAGTGATTGTTGCATGGATTTAATCATAGAACTAGATAAGCTCTTTTGCATCGAATAAAATATATCGAACAAAACTTTAAGTATAGAGTTGAACTTACTCGAAGTTGTATGGTAGCCATATAGTAGAGTGTTGTTGGAGATTTTTGAAAGCCAGGGCAATGTATGCCGCAACCTTAAGGGACTCTTCCCTTAGTTTCGCCGTACGGATGCGCTCTTTCTCCCGAAGAGTCTTTGTAGCAGCTAGCTCTTTGGCATCTAGTGTCCACCGTTTAGGGTAATTAAAATTTGTTTGGGCTATAGCTTGAGGGTCTACATATCCGGCTTTCACACTTGGCATTTGTTTGACAATGTGCACTTGCATTCTACAAATCACGGCGTAGGTTAGTTACAACAAAATTCAAAGATTACATTCATATCATATCGGGAGGATAAGGACTTACAGACACCACGTACGAATTAGATTCATCTCCATTTCTCCCAGGTGAAAGCATGTGTGCATGTCATTGAAGTCAAAGACAGTTTTCCCGGCTGGGCTTCCAAATGTGCTGGTGGGGAAGCATGCTTGTATGATATCTATGCTCGTTGGGAGAACACGCAAGTACCAATCATGGAACCTTCTCATTCCAAGTGGTAGGCGCTAGATGTCCCGGTTTGGTAGGAAGGGCTTGCCTCTTTCATATGTTTTCGAGCAATCCTTTGATCATTTGATGGCATCAACATTTGGATACTGCTTTGTAATTTGGTGGAGTTTGCTAGTGACGGCCTCCTCAAAACCCCGTGATGGGACTTTTTTAACTTGGTTCTCAGGCTTGAACTGGTCATGAGAATACCACTTGGACACCGATGAGATGTCTTTTATCGGAACATAAACTGGCCTTATGTTGATTGGAATCTTCTTTCGAAGTTCCCATTCAGGCACGTCCTTATCTTCTTGTGCATCACCTTCTTCAGGAGGCACTCATTGTTCATGTATCGGTTGTGCTTGTTGAGAAGACTGTGGCATCTCATCATGCACTTGCTCAGTACGAGCTGGAGAAGGTTATGGCATCTCATCAGGCACATGCTCGCTAGGAGGCGAGGAAGAATGTGGCATCTCAGGAATGTGGGGTCACGAGATGGTGAAAATATCTCCCCAACCTTAACAACTCGCTCCAAATTTGGGAGAGGGGGAGGCGGCGAAGAAGCAGTCAATATAATGTCCCATTTGTGCCAGAGGATGAACTGCCCCATAACGTCTCCGAGTAACACCAGCCCCTCGGGAGTTGCATAGTCTATCCTCCACTGCATGAACACGGGCTTCACTGTATGCACCTCGACCCTAGTGTAGTCCGGCGGTATCTTATTATTGTGGTGTAAGCCACTGGGAGGATGTGCCACACCCGTTGCCACCTCCATCACAGTGTTCTGCCGACCGCTGAGAAACACCAAGGTGCAACTAGTTGGTTCCCGTATGCGATCGACTGGGGTTGTGGCTGCAGTGGAACCTTGGCTACTAGGAACTTTCGGAGGGCTGCCAACTAATGCTAGTTCTTCCGGCGGCGTCACTAATATCCGTGGCTCCGTAGACAGTCCTTACTCCTC